GGTTGGTGTGAATATTAAATATCAAATGTGTTTTCAATTCTCGCTTTAATTTTGTAAATAAGTTTAGCGGGATCTATATAGAAAGCAAATTACTTTTTTATTATTCTTGAATTAATCGATTTCTGAACATGAATTAAGTGATTGCATTTCAAATTGAGCTAACAGCAACTTTGTTTAAAAAGTTTATGATATTTGAATTTTTGATTACATCTCACTCTTTGCAATATTCAGTTATTTGAGACTTTAATCGTGGTGCTCTAAACATGAACGGACGTCAGAAAAATGTGAAAACCAAAATGGCTGTCAACGGACTCGATAGGGACAAAGCATGCCTTGGCCTTTCTGCCAATTATGGAGGTTTTGAAATTAATATTGGGCCCACAGACACAATTTTTGGAAAGAAATTAGAATTATGTGCAAATGAGTGCCGATTGGCCAATTGTCCCCAATGTCGCACAATTTTGATACTCGAGGAATTAGAAAAAATTTTCGATAGTAAAAAGCTTCCTTATCTTGAATATCTATACGTTAACATGGATCACAATAGATTTGTTCCAATGTCTGCAATTCTCAAAATTCCAGAGATGGTCGCTCTAAAAGCAAATGAAATCGACTTAATGCGAGTTGGAGAACACAGCAGAATGCTGGAGATGGATAAAAGCTTTACCAAATTTAGGATAATTTATCTTCGCAAGTTTTCCTGTCAAGTTCAGGATCGTTTACATTGGAATCGCACTTTTGATAATCAACTACCAAGGGAAACTACTAAGCTATTGAGTAGTTTCGAAAAGCTTAATATCGAAGTCAAAATAAATTTAGAAAAACTGAGCGCTTCGCTGGCTCCGTCAACTAAAGATAAATTGGAAAAAGACGTATCTGTGAATTAGAAGGATCAAGGACCCATTTATTTTTTTCCTCCTTTTGACTTTGATCTTGGAGAACATTCACTTGCTAACCTATTATTTGCTTCCGTTTGCCTAGTAAAGCAACGCTACCGACTCTCCACTAGCAATTATGTATTCATGGGCTCTTTTTATGCCAATATAATATATTGAGTACATCAGCATTATGTTCTCTTGGATTATTACAAGTATGAGGATTATATCTATTCTAAAGCTATAATGAGAGATACATTTCAAGGAGTGTTCGTATTTGATTAAAAATTCATTCAATATGGGTTGGCAAATATGACACACGTGGTTGACATTAAATATTATCGAATAGATTGTGAGGTTTACTCGTAGTATTTAATGAGAAATACATTTTGTAATGATATTTTAAATTCAGTTTTGGACCTTTCGGAGTAGGATAATAACTACAGTGATTATAGAAATAACAGATTAAGCATATTATTTAGTAAAATTTTTATATCGTGCGGAAATAGGAACATGTTGAATTTGCTTAGTGTATGGCGGTTCTCAAACGGTTTGTAAATGAATTGCAATATTTCAAGTACTTTTATTCGGAGGAAAGTGATTTAAAAATACCACTCAAAGTTGACTATTCATTAGTTTTAATTAATTTCGACTCTATATTAAGCTGATGGGGTGCGTGATAGACTTACCTCCACGTGGTGCACCCTGGGCAACGTATACTCATACGGCAAAAAAGTCTATTAACTGGCGATTGACTTCTGACGCAGTACTCATCCTACCTTTTCTCTGCCTTCATGTCTGTCTCTTTACATCTTTAAATCACTCTTCTGTTCCCCACCCCTCGATTTTCTGTTACTTTGATGTTCCTCCCCCCTGTGAAGTCCGAAGTCAGCTAAAGGGCTAATGATAAATATCAAAACGCCTGCCATTTGAAATAAATAAATAAATAAATATTAAGCTGATAAATGCGTAGGCAGAATAAGAGCTATTTTGTATGATCGGAAATTAGTTACTACATGAAAGTCCTAAATTTAAGTGGATAAATGAAATTATTGGGCAAAGTAATGCCTGTGTTTTGACTGCCAGTCGTCAACCGTTGAAACGAACCAACACGGAAAGGCAAAGGTTGTTGGTTACATTAAGCAGCACGGGAATGTTGGACCTGTGGGAAAGTTAGTATAAATGCGTAACAAAGCTGAGATATTAATTAATTAATAATTCTAAGGCAAAATAGACCAAATACAGGATAAGCCAGATCAAGATAATTAATCAAAGTAAGAAAATGTTAAAAAGAAATTACCTTAACTATAAATCATATCAATCCCTAAGATATCCACCAGTCATGTCAACAGCATACACTTAGAACATATTAGAGGTTTTTTGGCAACGGTAAACTCAGCTTAAAGATGAAAATCGAAAGTATGGAGGATAAATAAAAAGGTTGTATTTTTTCAAAATACTACTTTGATTTCGTACAAATACGTCTGTGTAAAAAGGAAAATTATTCGAAATAATTGGGCAAATGAGGTTTTCGCTGTATAATCAAAGTAATTACGGAAACAAATCGTTGATAATTAAAATATTAAGAAGATAGGGAAAATAACAGCTTTAAGATAAATTTTGTACCCTCAGTAAGGTGACACCGACTCATATTAGTTTATTACATGTGAAGGCTTAAAAACCCTAATTTTGATTAAAAGATATTTTGAAACAAACATTGGTTTCATTGGTGTGTCATTTTCGGTCCTGATGGCGGCTTAGTTGAAAACCTTTTAAGGGTTATTTTTGTCTCTGGTCGTGTTTCGTATGTTGTCACTGGATTGCTTCTGTTTTTATATACAGTATGAGCTGTTAATCATTGGAACGAGAATAAAATACTAATTTTGCTATGTAACTGCCTTGACGGTCATGTATTTGCTTCCACATTGTAGATTCAGTCACTGGTTCTAAATGGACGGTCCGGCTATATCTCCCGAGTTCGTGTAAGTCGAATTTAAAATATTAATTTTTTACATCAAGGTGGTATTTTGGGGATATTAGTCGGGAAAAGACAAATGAAATTCTTTTAAATCAACCCGTTGGAACGTTTCTTGTTCGCGATTCTTCCACAACATCTGGTTTTGTATTGTCAATTAAGTAAGAAGTTATCGTTCTTTACATCACCAGTTCACAGGGAAGCTACCAAAGTTATTCGCTACCTAATCAATTACTCTAAAGAAACCGGAGATTTCTCTTTCGGAAACTCTACTTTTGATTCTCTTGAAGCTGTTATTGATTACTACTCTCAAGGTCGATCGGCGGCGTGTTTTCTAATTAAATCAGCTCCCAAGGATCGGCTCTTAGCCTTATACGATTTTGCTGGTGAAAAAAGCGAAGATTTATCTCTGTCAAAGGGAGATATGGTTGCATTCATTATTCAGAAAAAGGACTGGATTCTATGTTCCCTTAGTGACGGTCGTCGTGGTTGGGTTCCTGCCAACCATTTGGCACCGGTATGTTACAAACTGAACATTTTGGATAATTCTGATTCATTGCAATTTACGCATCTTATTTCTCATTAGTACAAGGCGGAACTCTTAGCAAGTCTGAAGGTTGACAAGGGCAATCTAAACGCAATGTCACACTGCAGTCTTTGTGGAATACTGGGAGTTCCTGTGGGTGCAAAAGTAATTCGTTCTCGTCAACCCTCAATCTTCCAACCCAATCATTTAGAAGTTCAGGAAGGCGACCTAGTTCGGATTGAGCGTATCCATAGTGATGGTAATTGCGAAATCTGGCATGAAAGACTCCAATGTCAAGGCGTTGTTCCTATAAACTATCTTCAAATTGAATCTTCTTGATTGTACATTTAGAGTACCTTTTTTCTCTAAAAAAACAGATCATCTAAATATAATTTGATTTCTAAAATGCCATTCATTCTAACTTTTGTTTGTTTTGCTTCACCTCCATCTTTTAATCCATTTTGCCTTGAATTTAGCCATGTCTGTCCTTCCAGCTTTGGGAAAGTTGGTTGCTAACCGTACAGCTTTGCTTGTGTGTGATATTCAAGAGAAATTCCGCCACAAGATATCCAATTTCGATGCTGTAACTGCTAATTCTGGGCGTTTGATCGCTGCGGCAAGAATACTTGAAATGCCCATTTTCATCACCGAGATGTATCCACAAGGTTTGTGGCTAGTTTGTGCTCACTGCCTTACTGAATTAGTTTTTGAGTAGCGTTCTGTGATTTCGAATCATTTTCCTAATTCAAGGTTTGGGACAGACAGTAGAAGACTTGGGGGATATTACCCACATCCCGGTTTTTCCCAAACGTAATTTCTCCATGCTGACCGAGAAATTACTTGCACATGCCGACTTTAAGAATAGATTCGACTCTGTTCTTCTCTGTGGTATTGAAACCCATGTCTGTGTTCAACGCACTGCACTCGAACTTCTGGAACGTTTTAATTTGAATGTTCATTGTGTCGCTGATGCCGTCTCTTCTCGCAATTATACTGACCGAATGATCGCTTTGGAGAGAATGCGTCAGTCGGGAGTTTTCATAACCACAGCCGAATCTGCTATACTCGGTTTAGTTGATGGATCCGAACATCCAAAATTCAAGGACCTTCAGAAACTCATTATTCCCTTAGCCTCTGATAGCGGCCTCTTCCCGTTTAAGTCGTCAAAGTAAACGACCTTACTAGGATTTGAATCAAGCGACTATTCCCCTCCCCTCTACTGTACCTTAATGATGTGGCTTATATATCACTGCATCTTGTTATTTGCTCGTGTTTGATTTTGGTTGTCTCAATTGGTTTGCGGGACCATAAGATCGATATTTCAAACTTGTTATTTTTCAATTTATCAAAGTTGCTCGAATATGATGCCTATGCGACCGGAATTTTTTTGGTGGGTCAAATTGTGCAACTTTTCATTTTTGGGGGGGCGAGGCATCTGTACCCACTGAGGACAAAAGTTCATAAAGTGGGAACCTGTTAGCTTTTGCGAAAGAGCATTTAAGCAGTATAAGGAAATCTAGAGAACCCTACTTTATCTTACCCGGGGTGCGCGATAGACTTACCTCCACGTGGTGCACCCTGGACAACGTATTTTCTTACGGCAAAAATGTCTATCACTCGGCATTCGTTTTTGACTTCGATTTATTATGATTAGCTTTAAAAAAGGTTATAAGAAAAATCGCCCTCGTCAGGGCGAATCACAACGTCTTCAGATCCTCCAGTGGAATGCTGGAGGAATGTCTCCGGACAAGAAGATCCAAGTACAGAAAATCCTACAAACCTATGATGTAGACATTTTCACAATTATGGAAGCTAACATTTCGGTTGAAAAACTGAAATACTACCAATTCCCAGGTTACACCCTGTACCTTCTGCCTAAATACCGGCAATTTG